TGCCGCGCTTTCCCTCTTACTAGTTCAATCAAGCACTCTTCACGACAGGCTCGTCATTCTACCTACAATCGCCAACTCACGTAAGCTACGCCACCACACTCGTTCCTTACGATTGCGACTCCAACGGCTCCTGTCAACTACGTAAGCAGCAACGCACCACGGACGTGCACCACTACCACAACCACATCGGATCTCACGAATACCTACAATCAGTAACACCAACATCACTGTAATAACTACTTAAATAAAGGTCGCTAAATACAATTCTGTTGGCTCTGAGTTAATGTATTAACCTCTCACTCGTGCCCCCCCCCGATCGGCATTAAACCGGTGTTACGGTCTAATCCATCCACCGTGATCTGCGATCATACTGGTCGCTGGAATTCCAAACAATTATGAAATAAAAAATAACTTTTGCTTTATTTAAAGTGAATCAAAACTTGCAAGACCTAGTCTAACCCTGGCTTTATTTTTATTATATTTGTTCGGAAATTAATTCCACAATTCAACTCGTCAGCCAAACGTGTAATAATTAACTTAGAACAATAAAACCCACTAGATGTTATGTGGGGTTGCCGGGCAAGTAAAGGGTGAATGCACTGATTAATAATTAACATAAGTCTTTATTATTTCTATTTATTTAAATTGATTTACAAAAGGTGAATTACAAATGAACTTGTTTTTCTTGATAATCTTGTAGTGTTGAAATAAATTAACTATGTATGAAGCAGGTTATAATCTATTAAATATTATCACTGGAGGTTATGATTGTTATGGTGCGTTAATTGAACGCGGCACTGTTGGCGGGTTTATTTAACACGTATGCAGTCGCCTCTAGTGTTGGGCGTAAGAGTGCCAAATAGAGGTTATGCGAAGCTGTGCGCCACCTGTGGCGGGAGCAGCTTATTGTTGGAGTGATTAATAGCCACAGTGGCGTTGTGGCTGGTCTTGCGCTAAAGTATATCCGGGAAGCTTGCGAAGTTGGACATTAATTCGTCCTTCATTAATACTGGTCGCTGGAATTCCAAACAATTATGTTCGGGATTGAAGCAGTCCCATGAATTTCAAACAAAAGAAAGGTCATATACGCAGTCCGGCGTACCGCATGTGCGCCTAGACTGACCGCGTGTGCAGCAAGGCTGACCACCACGTGCGCCTAGGCTGATCCGCACGTGAGAACCGAGGCGGGTACTGGAGAAAAATGTTTACAAACAAAACTCGGCAAGACCGAGCAAGTTTACAATTTGAAATATTATTTACGGCCAGCACTCACAAAAAAGGGACGCCTTCGAAACTTCTAGAAGCTTCGTTTTCTCACGCCAAAGGAAAATTTCTGGAAGGGACGCGCATCGACACTGTTGCCGGCGCTGAAGACGCCGCGTGGCCACATTTTCGGCAACATAAGCTCATTCGTAAAATCACTTCGCTCTCCATCAAGCGTAACTGCCGGTCAGTGCAAGTATACTGTAAAGACGCCGCGTGGCCACATTTTCGGCA